CAGAGACTGCCACAGCTGGGATTGGAGTGGGCTGGAGTGTCCATGGAAAATAATGGGGTTACCATGAAGAGTCCAGATGAATTTCCCACTTAACCTCACATGTTTTCATGTGCAAGTGGTGTGTGTGTATGTGTGTGTGTATCTTACTCCTCCTCAAGTTCTCAGGTTGAACTTTCAGAGTCTGCATGTGGCCACACAGAGGGCATGGTTTGGAAGCAAGGTGTGGATGCCCAGGACCTTGCAGCATGGTTTGTGCTGACTAAGGTTGTCTCCGGCCTCCATTTCACTGTCCCCTGCCCTGCTACATGAAACCGCACTGACGTGGGGTTCTTCAAGCCACACTTCTCCCTTGCCGATTGAAGTCCTCTTCAGATCGGCCACTTGGGGTTGCCGGAAGGGAATCGGAAAGCAGAAAGGTCTCACTCCTCTCCTACCCAGCTACTCTTACTGCTTCTGCTGTTGACTCCTGCAGAGCTGGCCCTTCCCAAACCAGCCATGCTGCACCCACCCATCAGAGCAACCTTCCCAAACGAGTGGTGTCCCCTCCTCAGAGGCCCAAGCCCTGGTTTTGTCCAGTGGCTTCTCTGGGTTCTCAAGGCCCCAGCCCTGGCTGTCAATTACCTTCTGCAGAGACCTGACCATAGCTCTACCAAGCTCCTGCTTGAGAGAGTCTAGATGCTGCCCATCCCAAGTCTTCTTCTGACGTCACCACCATTGGCATCATATGCTGGCCCTTGTCTGCACTCTTACTCCTTTGCCTTTTCAGCCCGTCAATATTTGGTAATCCGATTTTCCACACTAAACTCTCTCCAGTACAACAACTCCCATGGCTCCTCTTTGCCCCCATCAACTCCAGGGCCAGGTATAAAACTTGTAGGGCTCCATGCAAAATGGAACGCAGGCCTTTTCTCATAAAGTAGGAGGACACGTGTGCATAGTACTAAAACACGAATGTCTTTATTGCGAGCTCTTTCGTCTTCACATGATTTCACACCCACACTTGCCCTAGTTCCCACGCTCCCTGGTTCCACTTTGCAGTGGTATATGTTATTTGCTGTTTCATGTTGTAAGTCAAAGACATTAAAAATTGTAAGTCACAGGGCTGAAGGTGTAGCTCTGTGATAGAGCACTGGCCTGCCATATGTGAAACCCGGTTGGAACACCGACCACATACATACATACATGTTCATGCACGCACACAGAGCTTTTGTCATGAACATAATTTTTACTGTTTGTCTTAGAATTTCACAATTCACCCTAATTTCAAATAAAGGGCATGTGGCTTCTACAAAGAATGACAAAAAAAAAAAACACCATTTGGTATTTCAGAGCATTTATGTGTGTATTTGATTCTTTGTATGTATGTGTGTGTACACATGTGTGCATGTGAGTAAGTGAGTGCATGCCTGCGTGTGTGCGCGCGCGCCCATGTGTGAAGGGTAGGAGTCAATTATCAAGGGTTTCCCTCCATCACTTGGCATCTTATTTTTTGAGACACTGTCTCTTACTAAACTTGGAGTTCATCTGCTTGGCTAGGCTGTCTGATCAATGCATATTAGGGATCCACCTGTCTCTGCCTCCCCCAGCACTGGGTTTACAGATGCATGCCATTAATCCCAGAATTCAAGAAGCAGAAAAGCAGGTGGACCTCTGTAAGTGCAAGGCCACCTTTTCCACATAGTGAGTTTCAGGCCTGTCAGGGCTACATAGGGAGACCCCATCTAAAGAACAAACAAACAAAACCCCAAGCCCAACAAATGTATATCTTTATGCCCAGCTTTTACATGGGTACTGAGGATCAGAACTCAGGTCCTTATGCTGGCACAGCAATCACTTTATAGTCTGGGCCATCTCCCCAGCCCTTACGTATGTGTTTCACCCTTCTTACAACAGAAGCATTTCATGAAGTTAACTGCCATGGTTTTATTTCTTATCTTGGTACAACCAAATTTTATTCATTATCTCTGGAACTCAGAGCTTCCATAATCTATTTTATACTTATTTTAAGCCTTATAAATTCCCATGATGCTGGATCCACCAAAATACTGTGTTCCAGAATCTCTTAAAGGTGAGATGTGATTAGGAAGCAAAGAAATATATATATATATATACAGTTATATAGTTATATATATAAAATCAATATGTGATATATATATATATATATATATATATATATATATATATATATATATCCTCTACTAATATGCAGGTTCTAGGGTCTCATTGGACTTCACTCATGAAACATGAGGTCACAAATATAATCATTGGGAACAGCAGACAATTGTGTCTGGAGTGTGACTGGGATCCCAGCAATGGCGAGGCTGCAGCCATTGGGGCATCTTGAGTTTGAGGACAGCCTGGGCTATATAACCATGGCTGTCTTTAAATGATTGACAGGGGTGACAGCAGATTGTCAGAGGTGCAGAACCATTCTGAGAAGACCCGAGGACTACAACCCCTGCAGCCATTGGGGCACAGTCCGCTTGGGGTGCTCTACTTACCGTTGGGTACTCAGAAAGAGTGAATTGGCCTTCTGCTCAGTGACTTCATGAAGGTTCTGAGAGACTCACAAATGAGTAGTCTTCACCCCAGAGGGAGCCAATTGTCCATGATCTTTGGAAATTGTGGGTTTAGATTTGGTCACTGAAACACACGTTTTTTTTCCACTGTGCTCCCTAGAGCTAATGCATACCTCATGCAAATCTCAAAGCCTACCTAGCTTTATTACTAATAATACCAATGTATGTAGGATTGGGGATGGACTGGCTATAAATTGTCTGCACTTTGCAATGCCTAGATGAACAAAGTCATAATTGCAAATCTTCTGCTTTTATTTATCATCAATAATGGAGTTTTACTTGACCATTGTGAAGCTGGCCTCAAAGGTCCAGATGCGGTGAGAATTCTGATTTTTTCAGAGGGGAGAAAACTGCTTTCTAAGCCCATGTTTACACAAACTGTTTCTCTTTCTGTGGCAGCTCATAACTTGCAAGTGTAAATTTAATTACTTGAGCTGAAAACACTCGTGCTTCTCTTAGTGGCCAGCTCTGGTTTGTGCTGCAGCTGAAACTCCACACCGGGCTATTTTACAATGAGGAGTGGTCGCTCACTTAGAAGGCTCTGATTGGAGCCCCTGTTTCCAGGAGTTCCTCAGTGAAAATGGCTGACTTGACCTCTAGTGCCTGAGCCGCAACATGAGAGAAAAAAAAATATGAGAATCATACTCATTTCTCTTCCAGGTTGACCCGTTAAATTACCAAGGTGAAATACTTTTAAGCCAAAGCTCAAAATTAGTCAAATTCCTTCTTTGCTTATTTTCTTGAAGAAGTGTGTTTGCTTGTTTGTTTGAGAAGGCCCTGTCTGACTAATAGAATAAATGTAAATTAACAGCATGTAGACATCTTCCTTACTGAAGGTACACGAAGGTCTGAAAATACATCAGACTTTTCTGAAGATCACAAATTAGTAACACTGGAAGCGAGCGTGTTTTTTGTTTTTTTTTTAAGAGAAAAAAATGGAAAAAAAAAAAGCGAAAGAAACCCTTTTCTGAACGGAAGATTCTTCAAAGACATTTTGAGGGGGATTAAATCTCTCTTACACCTTAGAGCTCTGTCTCAGCTATCAATAGAGTTTGCTGGAGATGGAAGCCATTCGGGGTGACACACCCTTCACTTATTTGGGGAATGTGATTTTCCATCCTGCCATTTCCTGGCACCCAGACAAGTGTTATAAAAATATGTCATCATAAGCAGCCTAGAATAAATACTCAAATCCTCAGGGTTGTTTATCATTTCTCAAATGTCTTCCCTGCTTGTCCAATCTTAGCTCTTTGTTACATTTGGGGAGAGTAGGCTGTTTATAATACTCTGGGATGGCCAACCCACAGGTCATTCCATGTAAACCCGGCAACATTAGAACTCAGGGCAACGTGCCAGGTGGCTTCCATGGGTCCACTTTTAAATGGATTCCAGCACTGAAAGTCTCACCACCGATCAATTTTAAACCAGCCCACATGTTTCATTTTATTTGATAGAATTATTTGATTATGAACTGTTGTCTTCTTGACCAGTAAATGAAATTGAATGATGTCCTTGCATGGAACTTAAAAATACACAGCTACATCAATGTTATGACATCGAGAGCTCATTGAACATGTTTAGGTGTAGAGCACCACCAAAGCACAGAAAGATAAATTCAGTGACTGTCCAGCAGAACTTCATACACTATGGGAGGGACGGACTGACATTGACCAGTTCAATCATGTCAAGTACTAAATCCAATCACTGAAGTTCCACCTTCCTTTTATGGTGGGGCTTTTAGTCAGGCCTCTCTGTGTTTTGTGAAAACACTGTGTATACAGGGTATATTTAGCATGTAACTAGATCTGGTTATTTTAATTCTCAATAGACAAGACTTGTATGACACTAAATCTAGATTTCTTTTTATATGTTTTATTATCCTATATTTCTTATTAGAAAATACAAGGATTCTGGCCATCTGGAGAATTTTAGCAGATGATATCTTGAATCAACTTGCAATGGACCAGTGACCTTTTACTGAAGAGAGAGCCTGTGCCTACACATGTGTGTATAAACAAGCCCACCAGCCACGACATACACGTGTAAACATTACCACCCATATAGCAGGACGTCTGTCACACTAAGGATCTGGCACTTCACATGACCTTAAAGTGTTCCTACAGGCTCATTTGCAATGACAGCCTGTTTCCCGCATTCAATAAATAACAATACTTCCCTTTCATATTGTTATAGTCTGCCATTTGAAACCGTTCCTGTAGCGAGGAGGCTTTGCCAGTACAAAGCTGGCTTTTTACGTGATTTGTCTGTAACCAGGCAGATTTAGAACTTTTACTTCCGTAGACAGTGCTAAAAAGCAATTCAAGGCGACTTAAAATTCCCCTGAGGCTGATTTTGCTGCAGCCCTGAAACGCACACAAACCCTGCGTGCGCTCCAAGCCAGTCGCTTTCTTCCATGAGGAAGCAGCACCCGTGGTGGAGCCTCCATGCAAGCAGCTTACCACCACCACAAAACCCGCCAACCATAGGGTATTAACATGCTTTTTATTGTTAAATTGTTCGAGGAAATGATATTTGGGAGCTAGCAATTTGGGGGTGATTTTTTATTTTATTTTATTTTATTTTTTTTACCCTCCGGCGTTTATTATGGTGGATGTATCTTGCTGTTCCTCGAGGAGGATTGTGGAATGCCTTGGCCCAGCCAGGCTAAGGAAGAGAGACCGAATTTCTCCTTTGCTGGTCCTAAGCTCTAAGGCTGGGTGGCCACAGGCTTTTGGATTCTGCTCCCCAGGTGAGCTCAGGAGGAGGAGGAGGAGGAGGGGGAGGAAGAGAAGCAGGAGGAGAAGGAGGAAAAAGACAGCAGCAACTCTGTCACCAGACTTCACCCCTAAAGCTGAGGCATGTGCCAACTAGGAAGTGACCGGTACTCACACATGCGCCTAGTCGGCATCACGGAAGCGCACCCACTGTGGGTCTTAATATTGACCCTACACGAAACACATGGGAAAACCTCTTCTTTTCTCAGAAAGAAGTCAAAACAGACTGCACATACACAGAGATGGGAGAGAGGCATCCAAAAAGGAAAAAAATAGTGGTGAGGAGAGAAATGTTTGTGCCTGCATTCTTCCTTCCATCTGGCACGCGATGGGAGCACACTTACTTGGGCAAATGTTGAGCTCAGATCCCTACACTGTATAAAGCCTGGAGTCCTCTAGGGAATGTCTGGGCTGGACAGTGTACGGGAGCAACACACACACAGCCCACTGTGGGCCCTACACACAGCGCCCAGAAAAACCTGGGCCTTTCCCAAAAGGAAGTGAAGACAGACCGCAGCACACGGAAATAGCGCCCCGTGCCTTTCTGCCATCTGGAACAGGAGCAGCCCGCGACAGGGGGAGGAGGAAGCTGCTTTCCCAGTAGTTACAGTAGATAAGAGTGTTATACCCAAATCATAGAGGGCCCAGCCAGGCTTTTCCTCCAGAACTGCCAGGATCAAGCACCTGGCCATATACCATGCTAAATCTCCCCGGGGGAGGGGTTGATACAGAGCCATGTTTGTATGTGTATAGACAATGTTTGCAGTGGAGCATGTGAACACTGTTATGGGGGCTGCCGGTGTAGCTCAGTGGTAGAGGCTGTGCGAGGGCCCTGGGTTCACACCCCAGTACCAAAAATAAATAAATAAAATTTGTTAGGCGTCTTTCTCTTTTAGTCTGTCCATAAAGAAATGTGTTGTTGAGGTTTGTTTTGCTTGTTCTGACATTCGGTTTGATTTGTAATAAGCAACTCAAATCCGAAGACGGCAGGTTATCGCTCTCATGGAAGACTCATGCAAGGGGGAGGGGGAGGGTTCTTACTAAAAATGGCTCTCTCCGTCTGGCTGAGTCCAGATCTTCAGAAAGGAGACACAGGAATGTACACTTTGTGTAATCATTCCCTTCTTCCCTGCATGTCCAGGTGACTGCAATATATACAGTGAAGTTTACGAGCCCCTGACTCCTGGACAGCAAGCATGCAGAGCTGCTCATTCTATAGGTCGTTTTAAACAAGGTCAGTGTCTCAACTTTCAAGTTGCTCCTTTGTTCTTTTCAATATGTCCTCAGCGTTAATCACAACAAGCCAAGGTGTGTTTTGCACTCACATCAGTCCCCATCTGTGGGTTGACCCAAGTACATGGAAGGGGAAACAGTTTAAATGGGATACGTGCCCTACAAAGCAAAATATAGAATGCCTTTGTTGGCTCAATATGTATTTTCTGGACTCTCCAAAAGCCACCAGAGACCAGGGCTTGACAGTCCTCAGGAGTTCCTAGAGCATGTTATCCAAAGTGGAAGAGGCGATGACTTCTCTAGCTCAGCAGTTAGTTGAGCACATTAAATGGCCATGGGTCCTCACAATGTCGTACCTGACTGGCTGGTCATGTAACTGTAGCTCACAGTTTATTCCTTATTTTATAGAGCACTAGAAAAGTTAGACACTTCCCAGCACAGAGCTGATAAATGCTTAAGAAGAGGGAAGTGATAATTACCCACATTTGATCATTGCTCATTGTGTGTATGTACCAAATTATCTCAGTGTAGCCCCCAAAATATGTATAATTATCATTTGTCAACACAAAGGAAGATTGGCGTGGCCCTTGGGCCAGGAGTCCCAGGCATCAGCTGTGTGTTTTACAGACTCGCGGGTTTTTGCTGTTGCAGCTTTCTTTCTGTGGAAATAAATAGGGTTGGAATGCGGGGTTGGGAAACTCAGTTTGCCTCAGACACCCTGAGAAATAGCCAAGTTCGGGGCGCTCTGGTTAAGGTGGTCCCCTCCTTAGTTCCCTAGCTGGGCGTTTTCACAGGACTCATCTATCCAACATGTAGACTACAACAATGAATATTCAGTCCTGGTTCTGATTTTTGGCAGAACCCAGCAAAGTGAGAAGAAATTCTTTTCTTCTCATCTCCCCTGGGGTTTCAAGACGCTCCCTTGAAAGGGGTTGGAGAGGGCTCCGCAGGAAAGCCAGCCCTGCTTCCAGAAACGGCTTTGGTCTCTTTATGTATATTAGAACAATTAACATCTAGTTTCACCATTCAAAGGACTTTCTTTCCTTTTATGTTTTACTTCTTAAAATTCCCAGAATGGTGTACAGTGAAACTGTTCACTTGAGAAATTAAGTACCGTATGTGATAAGACAGTTGGATGAAATTTTTAAGCTGTCATTAAAAATGATTATAATTAGGACAAACTACAAGAAAATGCTTTAAAATTGAGACCCGGGTGAATTAAAAATTAAGGGGTATATTATGTATTATCATGTTGAAGGGCTGGCTTTACTCATCTAACAGCCATTAGCACTAATATGGGCTGCATGTACAATTCCCCTCTACTGAGCCAGGGAAGGCCCCCAACCTCATCATTTGTTTTTCCTGAACGACAGCATACTAACAAGGAAACACTCTTTGTGCTTAAAGAGGTGATGCAAGCCCAAATGTAAACCATTTTCCCTGCCCCTTCCGTGGGTTTCTTCCAAAAAGTCTTTTCAATCTTGAGAATATTTCACACTAATGCTGGATTTTGTCTCATCCCGAAGAATGTTCCAGAACCATCTAGGATAATCACATTTATTTCCTAGGGGCAGGGGGTGAACGTTTTTATTCACAGAGAACTAGAATGCTAAATTGTCATGATTGGTATCTAAGGATGCACAGGCCAAGAGAGTATTTTAAGGCAGGACAAGAAGCAGGGTCTGCCTGCTTCCACGACCCATGGCTCCCTACGAGTTGTCCTCCTCCTCCGACTGCACGTCTAGCCCCACCATAGTAACTACAGCTTGTGCTTATGAGAAATGGACCGTTCATGCCTCTGGTGTAGACATTCAAGGAAATATGCCTTCCCTTCTCTGTGGAAACCAGCATTAGATACTCAACTGTTCAGACACAGAGCTGCTGATTCATCCGCGTCCATTTTGTGAGGCTAGAAGGAGTCTTCTTATCCACCAGCAGGGGAAATGGAGGCTGCTCAGAGGCTAGACTCAAATCAGCTTCTCCAAGAAGCCAGTATAAATTACATGTGGCGATTTGAAGGAATGATTTGATTCGGGGTGAAAAATGCCAGTGTTTGTATAATTTAAACAAAATGAAAACTTTCTAAGCCTATTTCAATATGAGAATTACCCTAACATCATTTGGCATGTAAAGTAATAAAAGCCTTATTTATCCTAATAGATTTTCCCAGTGGCAAAATAAAGAAATGAAACCCTGGCATGGAAACTCAGCTGAGTGCTCCATCAGACCTCAGTTCTGGTCTCTGCTCTTGTGTGTGTGTGTGTGTGTGTGTGTGTGTGTGTGTGTGTGTGTGTGTGTGTGTATGTGTGTGTACATACGTGCACCATGTACATGCCTGCTCTCCATTATCTTGGATCCCTTGGCACTGAAGTTACAGTTGGTTGTGAGCCACCATTTGCGTGCTGGGAATCAAACCCTGTCCTCTACAAGAGCAACAAGCACTCAAGCGCTGAGCCATCTCTCCAGCCCTCAGCTTTCCTGGTATCTCGCTCTCCAATGCTGGATGAGCCTCTCATCTGTCTTGGTCTCAGTTTACTTACCGTGGAAGGAAGGAAATAGACTATAATTTCATCTAAGTAGAGCTTTCAGCTCATAGACTCTGCGCTTGATTTATTATTAGGACACTCATTTATGTTATTTAAATTCATTCTGATAACAAATGGCATCATATGCATATATCTATACCTACATTGTGTGTACATACATGTGCATGTGTGTGTATCCGGGTATGGGTGTGGAGGCCGGAGACTTTCAGCTTTCATCTTCAATCACTCTCCACCTCATTTTCTGAGATGGTCTCTCACTGAATCTAGAGCTTGCCCGTTCAGCGGGACAGCTGGCCAGCAAGCACCAGCCACCACCCTGCTGCCGCTTCCCCACACTTGGATGGCAGGCACACACTCTGCACCCCGCTTTTTTTATAGTGGTTCTGAGGATTGAACTCAGGTCCTCACGCTTGTGCTTGTCACTTTTCTCCCATTTTGGACACTCACTATTCAGAAGCCTTGGAGGGTCTGTTCTCGGCCATTGATCTGGGTGCTTGGATCACCACCACACTTCTGAAAACAATGGCTGTGTTACACGCAGACGTGAGGCATGGGTATAACCTACCCACCTCCTGCCCCAGCAACCTGGCAAGGCTTCAAGATCAGCAAAGAACCCTACACCAGATCTTAATATGCAATTCCCAGGAGTTGCCAGACACCAAGTGAGCTGATGCCAAAACATCCAGGTGGGGAAGAAAAATTAATAAATTATAGGGATATTTTATATATACAATTCCAAATATGGCTGCGCGGAGTTTGGAAACATCTGGGTGATGGATTGGAATTTTGCTTTTGCTGCAGCCCTCTGGCAGAATGTAAACACAGCCTGCGAGTCCCGAGAGATAAATGGGGAGGTGGAAACTGCAAGGGGGTAGATAAAGAATCCGATTCAAAAACAGAGGCCCATGTTGTTTGCCAAGTGAAAAACAAAATGCCAAAAACCTAAAGCGCTCCAAAGTTTCTTCTCTCGGAGTTAAAGATGCAGGATCTCAGGTAGCTCAAATTAGAAGCTATTTGCATATGCTTTGGCTTATTAGATGTAAAGTTGGGGAAAATATTTTTTCATTTTTGGTTTATATTTGTTTGAACGGCCTATTAGCATGCTGTGGGTTACAGCTCTATCTGACTGACGCTACAGAGAAATTAAGATTGGGGGGCACCACAGAGCTATTTTCTGAAAATAATATTCAAAAGTGCTATTTCTTTAAAAGTACCAGATGAAGATATACGGGGAATAATACAGGCAGTTACAGTATGAATTTTAAAGGCTTTCACATCCAATTATTTGCAATAACTTCGTTTCTTTCCCAGCCTATAATAAATCATGTAGATGTAAACGCTACAAAATTTAAATATGAGTAGGGTTTGAGTAAGACAGTATATCACTAGGAATCGGTATTTTTGTTATATATAGTGCTGTTTAACATATGTAAAGTGAAATTCTCATTGATTTGGGTTTGCTAATTCAGAGTTTGTGAGCCTGGCTTGAAGTTGACTCTTCACTGGGAAGTCATTCTTCATGGAAAGCTCAAATTAAAGGTGTAAATAAGATGGCAAATGTGATCATATGGAGTGCTTAGGAGTAAATTTAAAGTGCTCTCAGTGCCATTTGCATACAAAATCGTTATGCTAATTATACGTAATTCTTATTAAAGTAGGTCTACTAAAATCATCTTTCAGGCAAGTTCCCTGAGTGAATTTGAGTTATGGAGTGTGCTAGAAGGGAGGAAATCGGCTTCTTTAAGATACTGCATTCCATAATTCAGAATTTTAAGTAATTGTACCTTACCTTCCTGCTAATTAATCCAAAATGTTAACATTTTGCTAGCAATTTCTGTTCAGTTCCTGACTGTCTTTTGACAAAGTTCAAATCATTCATTTAATGCGCAGGATTATATCGGAATTTTTTACTTCATGTATTTTCAAACATCAGATTGGTGTTGCTTTTAGGACATAATATTGTTTTATGATGAACTAACATATAGGGGAGAAAGAAAGGAAGGAAGAAAGAGAAAGAGAGAGTGAGAGAGAGAGAAAGAAAGAAAGAAAGAAAGAAAGAAAGAAAGAAAGAAAGAAAGAAAGAAAGAAAGAAAGAAAGAAAGAAAGAAAGAAAGAAAGAGGGAGAAGGAAAGAGGGGAAACATTCTCAAACAGATACTAACTGAAATCTTAATTGGTAGTTTCTTCTAGTAAACAGACTTAAAAATTAACACTTGTCAGTGAGAGTCCAGTGAAAAGCAGCTAAAAGGCAGAGAAGGTTAAATACTAGACAAGTGGTTAGATCCCCCAACAAGGAAGTATCCATAGGCAACTAGACTCGCGCTGTTTGATTTCGAGGTATTCACACTGAAGTCTAGTTCATACAAGGCTCAAACAGCAAATTGGAAAATGGAGACAATACTGAACTCCACCTCAGCAGAAGTGACACTTGAAGTTCCTTCCCCAAGGTGCACACACATGCACACACCACATATGTACACACCACACACACACACACACACACACCTTAGTTTTACTTTCTGAGAAATGGCTAGCCACAAAGGCCCTCCCTATTCTAACATACCCTGAAACACCACCTACCTATACCTATCCTTGATGACTGAAGAGAAGAACCCCTTCCCTCTAGCTTCCAGGCTTCCAGAAGACTCTGCTGGCTCTCTTGTTCCCTGCTCGTTCACACATGGAGCTCACTCCCTTTGCTTTGAGATGGTTTGGGTCAGTAAGTGTCCTCACTGTGGCAGGACTTTGGATCAAGTCGTGCAGTTTGTCTTTTCACTTTTAGTGCTGAGGCTGAGAAAGACAGCACCTCGTTTTCAGGTCCCTGCCTCCTCCAGCTAGGTAACGGGAGCTGCCAGCTCTCTGTTACATTCTGCTTGGAGACCTAGGGATTTGACCAACGGCAAGTCCAGCTCCTTCCTGACCTGTCTTGGTAGCAAGATAAGGATGTGGATTTATTCTTTCTGAGTCCTCTTGACTTCGGCATTGAACAGTGGTTTTTGCTGTGATATTTAGTGGTTTCTGGTAAGTATACTAATGGATCATGAACATCTTACCTCTCCTGGGACCAACTACAAACTGAGCTGGATCCTCTTATCTTGCTAAAATTCTTCATCTGAAGCAAATATTTTAAGTGTGTGTGTGTGTGTGTGTGTGTGTGTGTGTGTGTGTGTGTGTGTGTGTGTGTTTCTTTCAAAATCTGGCTGCCATCTTTCAAACTAATGTTTCCAATTTTCTTCCTACTGGTCCTGGCATCATAAATAACTAAAATCAACGATCAGGTCTCTGACAGCTCCAAGTTATCTTATAACTGTCGTATATCTCCCAAATCTGAAACCCGAGAAATGAACATCAAAGGATTTCTCATTAGAGCAGGCCATGCATAGATTAAGACTCATCCTGGACCTGCCACTCTTTGGACCACTAAGGAAGTCCAGAAATGGATATGTTTAGATGGGAGATACCTAATATCATGAGCATCGCCCAGAACAGCAACATCCTAAGCCGAGAGCATCAACAACGTTTAGTTGTGGGGCATGATAGTACCAGCAACTCAGGAGACCAAGTCAGAGGACCCCTTGACTTGGTTCAAGGCCATCATGGGAAACGTCTTGAAAGTCAGTTTCAGAGATAGGAAGAGAGGAAAAGAAGGAGTGAGAGAGAAAGAGGAGGAAGAGGAAAGAGAGAAATAGCATGACAAAGAGGAGGGAAAGGCATAGGAAGAAGAAAAAGATCCAAGTTATCCTCTGACCTCCACATACATGATAGGTGCAGGAGAAGCACACATGTGCACGCACCATACATACACACACACACACACACACACACTTACGAAGAAGTAAAAAGTAATAAAATTATTTTTTTAAAGAATGAGTTCTTGAACTACATTGAACAGGCTCACGTTAGGAAATATAACCAATCGTGTAGCTACTTTTCTGTTCATTTTGGCATTTTTCTTTTCAGGTGCCTGACCTCCGGGATTCTAAGACAGCTGACCTTTGTGGTCACCTCTCAACAGATGGCCCAGCTGGAGGAACAATTTCATACACACTGCTTTGACCCACTCAGAAGGCTTTGGACACTTCGAAGATGCCCAGCCACAAATCATGACCTAAAAGAGGAGCCGACAGCATTCCACTCTGCCCGAGCATGGTATTCACAGAAAACAACAACAACAACACTAGAGAAATCCTCCCTAACCTTCGTGTTCTGACAAAGACACAACAGCCAAGGACCACATCTTCTTAGCTAAGACTTGGCTTCCTCAGCGATTCTGGAAAGTTCCATCTTCTCCATCTTTTCCAGTTCCTGATTACTCCAGTTCCTGAGAGACTTGGGACGACCCCACCCCCTGCTTTTTGCCTCTTGTAACATGAATCCATCTTTTCTCTTCCAGATGATTGTCATTAATGAAAGATGCTGAATAAATACCTCCTTTGCAATCTCATGCGCATTGTCGTCCACATTGGGAAAGTTCATCAAAAGCAAGGGGAGATGTCTGGGTAAACGCTTGCTGTGGTACCTGGGTGTGATCTTAGTAGCCTTATATGAGACAGGGCACGGCTGTACACACCTGTAATCCCAATGCTTAAGTGCAGAAACAGGCTTGTCCCCGGAGTTTGCTGCTTGGGCAGGCTAGCTGATTCAGTGGGTTCCAGGCTCAGAGAAAGAACCTGTCTCAAAAAAACAAAAACAAAACAAAACCCCAAAACAGTAAGGAGGAAGAGGATTGAAGACAAGAACTGATGTTGACCTCTGGCCTCCACGAGCACACGTGTACGCACACACGGAAACACATACAACACAAAGAAAATGTCATCAAAGTACACTCAAGACCATAGATGTCTGTTAGAATATGGCCTGGAAAAGGGAACATATTCACAGTAACATAGATATTCACAATTCTACAGACTGCATCAGTGATTGTTCAAGCTACAGGGTATGTCTACATTATACTTCAAATGTTCAAATGTACACAACAAATGCCTACTAGCCCAGCGGGGGCTTTATAGACATTGCCTGGAAAACTCTGGTCCTCGTTAGTGTTATCTTTCCCTGCAAATCACAATTATTTATTCACTGGGGAAAAAAAAAACTCCTGACTGTTTGGCTATTTATTTTATGTACGTGAAATTGAATCACTTGTCAAATTGAAAAAAGAAAAAAGAAGAACCAATTGTTCACTCCCCAGCGCTCATTGCTAAAATGATGCCAGTATTAATGTGGTGTGCAGGCCAGTTCCTTGGGCAGGAACATCCCTCCCTACATCTACTTCCTGTATTTTATGAGCACTGAGAATGAGAAAAGATAGGAAGATAAAAGAACAGTGCAGAAAATATAAAATTAGAGTAAAATATGTAAATTGGAAAGCTAAAGAATTTTCCTCCATAATTGAAGATACAATCATAAAGGAGGTCTCATCTCCGCCATCTACTTTATCTTTGAATTAAAAGTACAGAGAAAATAAACCCACCTCTTGACTAATAATATACAGTCTAAGTTTCATATGTCCTCTGTGTCACTCAAGTCCTGTTTTCAAAAAACTGCTTCCAGAACACTCTATCTTAAGATGAGCTGTTAATTCCGTAGCTTTTAATAACTGACAACTCCGCTTATAAACCCAGGCTGTACATAAATTGTCAGCATCCAAATTTGCCCAGACAAACAGAACTGAGAAAAAAACAAAAATAACATGGAGAAAAACTTATTAGCAGCTGTATAAATAACAGCAGCAGGATTGACTAATAAGAGGCACCAGACAGTCCAGAAAGGCCCAGGAAGGGGTTCAAGTCGACACGTCATTTTGAAGAGGTCAGCACACTCTATATTCTTCCAAAACGTGGCCCTTCTTCCAAAGGCCCTACAGTGGGAAGCCCAGAGGGAGGAAGACCTTTATAAGCAAAATCTTCAACCATCAAGAAAAATGAAGAGGCAAGTGAAAATGTTGAGAGAAAGTAATGGTCCAGTTACTCTCTTTACTCTAACACGTTTATCATGACAATTTTATTTGATGAGAACTACACAATCACTCCAGGTCCAAAAATTGGAGAACTGTCTTTTCCCTCTTTAATACAGCCTACTATAGCTCAAAGCCTTCTGGGTCGACTGGAGAGCTGAATGGACTGAAGGCCACTAGAGCTGTGAGTCCTACAGAATACAGGGATGGGGCTCACAAGCAAAAGGACCAAGAGCTGGAGACGGGCATAGCACTGTGCATAGAAATACAATGTGACTGAAAGGCTGACATTTTCAAGTTGTCTCATGCACAGAAAGCAAAAATAAGAGCAGATGTCATCAATGTTAATGTATTGTGTTTAACCTAATATAGCCAATACGGTGACATTTAGTTTCAATAGATAAGCAATTAAGTCACTGATAAAATGATATTAGCTGGATGTGATGGTGTTCCCTTGTCATCCCAGCACTTGGAGATGGAGGCAGGCTGATCAGGAGGAGGCCAAGGCCTGCTTCAATTACTTGACATGCTGGAGAATTTTGATAATCTGACACAAGCTAGGGTCCCACAAGCCTAGAAGAACAAACCTCAGTTGAGAAAATGCCCACGCTAGATTGACCTGTGGGCAAGCCTGAGCCACATTTTCTTGGTTGCTGATGTTGAAAGGCCCAGCCCATTGTGGGTGGTGTACCTAGCTGGTTCTAGGAGTATGTAAGAAAGCAAGCTTGTCAAACCATGAAGATGATCAAACACTTGAGCGTCATTCCTCCATGGCCTCTGCATCAGTCCCTGGCTTGAGTTCCTGCCCTGACTTCCCTGGATGATGGATTACAAGCGGTAAGGTCAAATAAACATGTGGGTGGTTATGTAAACAAGACTGCAGGTACCTACCCAGGCCAGAAGTGTCAGATCCCACTGGAGGTAGAGCTTCAGGTGGTAAGAGCCACCTGGTATGGGTGCCAGGAACTGAACTTGTATCCTCTGAAAGAGTAGTATGAGCTCTTAACTTCCGACCTTCTCTCCAGGCCCTTGAGTAATTTTGTTGTTGTTTGTTTGCTTGTTTGTTTGTTTTTTGAGACAAGATTTCTCTGTGTAAAAGCCCTGACTCTCCTGGAACTCACTCTGTAGACCAGGTTGGCCTTGAACTCAGAGACCCACTTGCTTCTGCCTCCCAAGTGCTAGGATTAAAGGTGTATGCCACCACACCCAGCTGTGAAATATAATCTTATAAACACAGTAAAGTTGTGTTTCATGAGGATATATTTTATGCTGCTTCAGATTTTAAGTTGAACTGTAGATCAATTCAAATTTAATTGGATTTTTATATTTTTTGAGATTATAATATAATTACTTCATTCCCCCCCCTTCCCTTTCCTCCATCCAGCCTCTTCCATGTGCCATCCCCTTGCTCTTATCAAATTCATGGCCTTTTCTTCTTTAATTATTGTTACAAAAATACACACACACACACACACACACACACACACACACCGTATATGGTGTTTGGTTTTTTTTTTTTTTTTATTGTGTCTATCTGTTGCAAAGAGAAGTCCCTTGGTCAGGGATGAGGACTACACATATCTGTGGTTTTAAAGGCAAATATTTAGAGTGTAGTTGGTAATTATGTTGGTTTAGTAAAGTGTCTGTTATAGGTTCTCCTTCAAGAGCTATGACTTCCCTAGCCCTGGGCAGTGGTCAGGGTTTTCAGTACTAGGCAGGATTTTTCTCTTGTTGAGCGGGTCTTAAGTTCAGTTAGAGAGCTGTTGGTTACCATGAAGGGATGCATACCACTCCTGTATTCTTAGGGTTATAGTGCCATGCAGGTCGTTGCTGTGGTTCATAGGCATCATAGCTGCATAGGACTACTGGTTGCTTCCCTCCTTTGGAAGCTTGCATGGTACCTTCTGGTACTATGAAAGCTAGTCCTCAGGGAGGAGGTGTTCAGGTCAGTTCCAGCTCAGGGACTCCTGAGCCATATGTTTGAAGGAAATGATGTCTTCAGCAACAGGCGCTTACTTTCCACCTCTGGAGAAAACCAACATCAAGAACAATAGCCTATAATGTTTTGTGAGTCTCATGGACAACCCTAGCCAACAATTCAAAAAAGGGCTTCTCATGCCTGGTGTTGGGATCTTTGTGAGATAGTCTATGGCTCCTGGTATGGGAGGAGGGAGTATTATCAGCCTAGATGAGAGATTTTCGTCTAATTATTTATCTATGTATATATACAGACTTGTATATAAGTATTTTTAGGTAGAGTTGATAGTATAATTCCTTATGACTTTTTCAGATACCTTGTTTTTTTTACCCTTTTCCCTCCTTCTGTGCTTATTTCCCTCTCCCTTCCTACTTAAAGCCCCCAATTTCCCCATTTCGTCTTTCAAGTCACCTGCATACACCCTACAACTGCCCTCTCTATTACCCTCCACAATGGTCCCTTTTTACTCTCCTGGTTTCTGCAGTTTCTCCAGATTATGAACTCACATCTCAAGATTTGAAGCTAAGAACCTTAGCTGAATGAGAACTTGTGATGTTTGTCTTTCTGGGTCTGGGTTATCTTGCTCAGTATGATTTTTTTCTATCCATCCATTTACCTGCAAAGTTCATGGCTTCAGTTTTCTAAAAAGCTGAATAGTAGTCCATAATGTACATGTACCACATTTTCATGATCCATTCATCAGTTGAAGGACATTAGGCTGTCTCTGCTTCTAGTTATTGTGAATAGAGATTTTTGCCATTCTGATTTTGATAAGATCAAATCTCAAAGTGGTTTTGATTTACATTTCCCTAATTGCTCAGGACATAAACTTTCTGAGATATTTCTTAGCTGTTTTTATTTCTTCTTTTAAGAACTCTCTGTTAGGAGGCCAGGCCTATTTTTTGAGTTGGTCATGTTTGTTTGTTTGACTCTGTCTTTATATATTCTAAATATTAGTCCTTAGTCAGATGTATACCTGGCAAAGATTCTCTTACTATCTTGGGCTTCTTCACCCTGTTAATTGTTTTCTTAACTGTGCAGAAGCTTTTTAGTTTTATGAAGCCCCATTTGTCAATTATTGGCCTTATTCCTTTGGCCAATGGAGTCCTATTCAGAAAGTCTTTTCCTCTACCCATATCATGTAGGACACTGTTTATGTTTTTTCGTCTAGCAGTTTCAATATTTCAGGTTTCACATTTAGGTCTTTTATACATTTGGAGGTAAGTTTTGTGCAGGGTGACAAATATGTGTATGTTTTCACTCTTCACATGGACATCCAGTTTTCCCAGAACCATTTGTTGAACGTGGCTGATTTTCTCCTGTGTATGTTTTGGGAATCTTTGTCAAATAGTAAATGGCTGAAGTTATATTAACTCATATTTTGGTCTTCCGTTTTGTTCCGATGGTCTACATGTCTGTTTTTACGCAATACGGTTTTCCTTTTTATTGTAATAGCTCTGTAATACATCTTAAGGTCTGGTAGGCCCTCCAGCACTGCTCTTCTTGCCAGAAT